AAGACAGGAAATAATTCTGCATACGACATCGGAATCGGATCAAACTGCATTTGCTTTTGAACACAACTTTGCTGATCAATCTTTTGTTGTGTATGTTGTTGCTTACTTTTGTTACGAGATCTTCTACGCTTTTCTTGCGAAATAGCGTTAGCAGCTTGTTCTTTCTTCTTGGAAAAAGAATTTCTATACTTCTTAGAAGAACCACTTTCTTTGGTCAACCATCCTTTCCGGACACCTTCTTCGAGACACATCTCGGTAACATGATTGGAAGCGCTAAAGGGAGCCACAGAAATGAGTGTTGAAATGATTTCAGAAATCACAGTCTTTTGTAGTGGAGTCTGAGAAATATGAGGAGAATGTTGATTCTGAGCAACAACCAGAGTTTCAACCAAAGTAGAGATCCTTTCCATACCATCCCTCAAAGTAGCCAATTCCTCGCGAAGCTCGCGGTTCTCTCGTTGCAACTGATCCATCTTTAGCTCGATTATTGTAGTGATGCGACAACTTGTCTGAACAAAGACCAAGAACGGGAAGTAAATAAGACACCCGGGAAAGGCAAGATACAATGCAGAATGATGTTTGATGTGCAAATGCAAATGCAAGTTTTCAAGGAACTATAAAGCAGTTTGCAAACATTACATTAAGATAACACACTTGATATACCAAAAATCTCATTTCATTAATATTGAAAGAATTACAGCTTTGAAGTACAGTTTCATCAATCTTACAACACAAGAGAGAATGAAATCTAGTTCTAAGGAATCGTGTCTGAAAACGACCCAACTCTGAGCTGATACTTCTTGCAAAGCCTCTTAATTTATCTCATATAGCTGATCTTCATGGTGTCTTTCTCTTTCATGAGTCAATCCATGATACCCTTCCAAGAACCGGAGGTAAGAAGATGAACAGATGATGATATGCTAGAGGAAAATAAATCCTCTGAATCCTTGGATCTCTTCATGACACGTCGCTCAAGAAACTCAATGAAGACTTGTACACCCATAAGATAGGCATACTCCTCTAAGGTTGGAAATATATGATAATCTGGGAAAGTAAATCAACGATGCAACAGATCATAGAACTGGACCAAGGTATTAAGAATCCCTTTTTCAACATCAGTCCTCAGAGTAATCAACAGTTTCCTAAACAACATTTCTCAACTCTTGTAAGTCAAAACTCGTGAAAGTGTACTTCTTAGTGTTACTTCTTTCAATATCCATGGTTCTAAAAAAAAATTTTGCGATATTTGCAAAAAGAAATCTCGGGGTTCCTTAAAAACCGACTGAAACACAATGCTCATGAATGCATGAGTGCAAGATGCAACACCCACAAACAAGACATACAAAGCACACAGGTTCAAAGGTTCGGCACGAGCATGGAGCCAAAGGTAAGAACCAACCAACCCACAATGGTATGTACTATGGTTATATCATCACCTGTAGAACAACGTTCTAAAAAGTTCCCATAGTCATAATTCCATCTTTTGGATATTATCGGCTTAAACGACTACTCGTCGGCCAACAATATTCTCAAGAGAAACTCATCTGAGTGTGGTATCGCGTAACGACTAATTCAAGTCTACACCTGAACATCCACCGCACCACGTCCTAATAAGGCCAAGATGGGTTAAAGGGTTCTAAGGTCCTCAGCTTCTCAAGCTCCCAGTCGGAAAAAGTAATATCAATTACGACTACTCGTAAGACATCAGTAATTCCAAAGGGGCCTACACCGAGCGGGGGATCTCAAGTCAGCTTAGTAAGGACTACTCCACGTAAGCCAACAAGACTATACCACCCTTCTATCATAAGTGCACTCAAGTCCAGGTATAGGACTTATCTCACCACACAGATTACCAGGCACCAAAACAGAACAATCGATAACAAACAAGTCAAACAAAAAACAATAAATAAATCAAAGTAGGCGAAACCCACTAGGAACCTAAATGTCCCCAGCAGAGTCGCCACTTTTCTGTAGCGGTAAAAATCGTGAGCGTAAGTTATTAATTAACTTAACTCAAAAACAAGAGTCGCCACCGCACTTTTATTTTATCCAAATAAAGGAAAGGAAAAAGAGCGAACAAAACCAAAGAGTTCTAAAACAAGAACAAGAAACAGAGATCGGGGTAAGGGGGTTGGTTACGCAATGGGAAGGTGTTAGCACCTAAAACGTCTATAGTACTCTATAGGAGCCCTTTGAAATATTTACGTTTTTTGGTTTGAAAATGGTTTGTTTGAAAAGAGATTGGGGAGATGAGAAGAGAATTATTTTTTAGATTTTTGTGTTTGGAGAGACTTATCGCCTCATGCCTACGTACCCACAAAGTGCAATATGGGATCAAAACCCCGTAGTTCGTGGTACAAATGACAAAAATTTGTTGGTTTTGATTGATTTTAGATGTAAAGACAAGTCGTCATTTTAAGGAGAAAACTGCGACTATTCACCCACGAGTATTAAGACAACATCTGCGTCACATAAAGATGGAGGATTTGCTTGGATTATCAACAAGACTATCACTCAACATCAATGTGGAAAATGTCAAATTCTTAATAATATGGGGAATAGGAGAATTACATCTCAACTATAGAAATGAATCATGTCTAAACTTTATGAAAAGTTTTAAAGTGAAAAAGTGCATAAAGGCACAAAAATAGTTGATGAGTTTTTGTATTTTTTATGTCTTTTGAAATTGGTCAAAGCATTATTAACATTGATTGACTTTTATTAAGAAGAACAAAGTTTGAAAATCACTTGACGAAAGTCAATGTTTTATTGCGAAAGCGGTTTTGAAGTTTGAAACCGAGAAGGTTTTGAAAGAGGGAGAAAGTTTTGAAAATTTAAGAAGGGGAGGAAATGAAGTGACTATCCTAGAAACCAAAATAAAAGCTAGAGGTAAGAAAGATCTAACCAACTTGTAGCACACTCCATAGCAAGCAAAAAGAATTCCATTAGATTTAAAGCATAAGCTAATGAGCGAGCCAAATAAAGGCTAAGATCCACAATACTCCAAGCATAGGAATGAGAGTCCTAATTCTAAGTCCAAAGGTCCATGAAGTCCAAGGTCTAAGAATAGTCCAAGAGCATAACCACAAAGTTAATAGCACCAAGTTTTTTAGAGATTTTTTATCCTTTATTAGTGTTTTGAACAAGGTATGGTCCAAGTGGACAAAAGAGAAATGACATAAACATAAACAAAGATATGATATGAAATGATAATATGGAAGCATAAAAGTAAGAAATAAGGAGTAAGAAGAGAATATAAACAAAATTAAACAAGGATAATGTTAGTGAATTAGTAATTAGTGGTTAGAATATATGATCAATGATGATTAATTCTTGCACTTTAGACCAAGGTTAATGAAAACTCATTAGAGAATTGATAGAATCAAAGCCTCCTAACAATGATTTTCATAGGTAGTGGACTTAAAACAAGCAACTAATCATACTTGGACTTTCAAACATAAGTTTGAGCCACGAATGATCATTTTCCGATTAAGGGACACTTTAGCGCTATGTTAAGCAATCGTAATCGGGTTTATGTAGAAACCACGACTATCTGAGGCCGGTCAATAAAATGTTAGTGTTAACACATGTTAGAGAAGTGATATGTAAATCACTCTCCTAAAACATGCCACACAAAAAGAAAAGAGGTAGTGATCTCATCATAATCAAGATTTTTCATCAATTAATCAAAGGTAATCTATCACTATTCCAAAGTACGGAGAATTATCTCAATGATTATTCATCCATAGATTTGAAATAATGAAGATTAAACAACGTTGATAATCAACAATCTATGATCCATAGATTTTCATCGATCAAAATAAAAAAAGAAGAAGAAAGAGAATTAAAAAGAAACCACAATTTGAATCTTAAATAGATTAAATCATCATCAATATCAATCACCTCTCTTGGTGGATAAAATCGACACCCAAAGTCCATTGATATTGATGAGATCTTATCAAAATTTAAGATCCAAAACAAAAACTATTTTAAGAAATTATTTCAAAAGAAAACAAATATTAGAAAATTATTAAAAGGAAATTGAATAATAAAAAAAAAAGAGGTTTAAAGTAAATAAAATAAAAAATGGTGATGATAGTAAAAAAGGACTCACAGCCCAAGATATGTTTAAAAAAAAACAATAAAACTAAAATCAAAAGAAAAGAAATAAGAATCAGAATAGCTTCATCATCTTCTTCTAGCTCTCACGCGGCACTGTTCACGGCCATGGATGCTTCAGTGCTTGCTCAAATCAAAGCGGCGGGACGCGAAAATCACACAAAATGGATCATCATCAAAAGCTCTCCACAACAATACCAACAATTCAAAGAAATGCAACCAAAAGTAACGGATCGAAAATGACGGTGAAGCTCAAACTACCTTCAAACTCAGGTAAATGATGAAATCGAAACTCTCTTCTTCTTTCTTCTTCTTCTGAATGAATTCTGGTTCGAAATTGATCTCTGTTTGAGGTTAATTGAAGTTAATTTGGTGGAAGGAAGTAGGAGAAGAGAATGTGAGCAAAAGATTTCGTAGTGAGGAATTGAGGAAGAAAATTAGCAGAGATTTTTTGGCTTGAAAAGCTTGAGAGAAATGAATGAATGTGGTTTGTATTTATAGATTGAGAGTGAGGGTGAGTGATTTGCCGTTTGTGAGAATTTCACTGCGTTTTGAATTGGGTGTTTACGCGTGAGCTTTTTGCTGATATTTTTCATGTCGTTTTTACTCCTTTTCTTTTTTTGGCTCGTGGATTAAATGATTTTATGGCTCAATTATATTTTGTACAGCTTGTGAACATGTCTTGGTTGATGGCTTACACGGCTTCACTTGGTATTCACTTTTGTTGCAGCTTGTAAATTCAAGAAGTGACGTAGGTTCTTTTGCTCATGGCTTCACTTGGTGAAAGCTTTAAAAGGCTTGTGGGCTCAGCTTGGAGTGTAACACGGCTGGGATTATATTCACATGGCCTGCAATTGACAAGAGCTTATTTCCCAATGCAATCAAATAATAGCCAACACAAGGGTCCAAAGTCGGAGATATGATGCCGTATTTGAAACAAAACCCAAAACAAACTCAATGGAGTGAATCATTTGGTGAACAAAAACCTCACTGAAATTAAATTCCTCATGATGTTGCCTGGCAGAATCCGGTTCCACCTCAAGATCCACCTCAGAGGTATTCAGAACACCGTAATTACATCCTTGAAATCTCTCATTATGAAGTTTCTTTAATATAAAAGGCTTTGGAAAGAGCATCCATGGAACTGCAATTAGAGCCAGAAGCAATAACAAAACTTGAAGTGGCCTTTGACCCCTGAACAACTCATTCTCACCAAGATTGTCAAGGGGGCTTAAAAACATGTAAATCATTATATGATAAAGGTCTGCCTGAGAGCCAGAACACCACTTGACAACAATGAGAAGGGAAAGATACCCAAATAGAATGTTGAGGAAAATCATCTGCGGCACAAACTGATACCTTATATCCAGCGAACTGCCAAAGAAACGAGCATTGAAATAACTTAACATAATTCCTAAGTTCATATGCACAACACCAAATAGAATGGACATCTTCATCTTGAGAGAGTTCAAAAAGGGTAATTCAGAACGACTTCCACGCCAGCTGGGATCTACACCAAATGGGTATGGTTCTCTGTATTTTACTAAGCCAGTAGTATGTGCATCCCTGCATGAAATATCTTGGCATTTGTAAGCAGACGCACCAAATAGGTGAAAAGGAACCGAGAAGAACTCGTTGTAGATTAACCCACAATACATTGAAAACAGTGACATCAGAAGAAGCACATAACGCCCACCATATAGCATCTCCATAAAGCTTCCCAGTCGCTGATTGCCGAGTTTGCTTTCATGTGCTATAAGAACCAATGTTCCAAGCAGCAGGCATATTCCATGGCCCCAGTCCCCAAACATCACCGCAAAAAGAAATGGGAATATAATAGTTGTGTAAACTGCAGGGTTTGCTTCTTGATATCTTGCAACACCATATGCATCTACAATTTCTTGATAAGGATTGGTGAAACTGTTGGTCCTAAAATATGTAGGGGGCGATTCCAGTGCATCCATTGAATGAAAGATTACACCCACTTGAGAATTGCTGTCAAAAGTTGCACGTTGCAGTGCCTCTTGAATCTGTGTTCTTGCAAATATTGGACACCAGCCCTCTGCAACAAGACATTTTTTGGTGACATCAAAATTTAACATGTTCAGCGTATCATACACAGCTTTCTCTCTTCTTACCATGTCCATCCATTTTTCTAAATGACCTCCTACAGAAGATAGAGCCTTATTCCGATGCCTAATTCCAGCATCCAAAGTGGCCTCTAAGTCAGCAAGGCGTGATGAAACCTCCTGAGTTATTTGCCTTTGCTTACTTATATCTTCAGGAACAGGGTAACAATTTGCACCAAATGCTTCACAAATTTTTAGAATCTTTGTTCTTGCTTGCTCCCCAGAGAAAAACACAACAAACACTGTCTCCTCAACCATCTCAGTTGAAATAGGATCCATAATTTGTTCATCAGCTGGTGCCTTATTGAAAAGCATATTGCCTCTTGTGGCACGAAACAACATTCTTTCAAACCTCAGAACTTTGGATTTACAAATTATCCCGCTGATAAATCTTAAACCAGATTGGTTTGATTTTGACAGATCAGGCATCATTTCCTATTCAAACAAAAATGGTGTCTCGATAATGTCTTCATTTATGTAAACATTTTCCTCCAGTTCTCTCTCTTCTGAAACGGCATGGCCATGATTTGAAACAAGAAAACTACATGCCTTTTGCAGTACACTCTTGAACTCAAGGAGCTCGTTATATGATTGCTGAAGTTTCTCACTGTTAGAGTTCATTTCAATTATCTCATGTTCATGCTCAGCAAGATGCACCTTTATATCCTCCAAGTATGTATCTGATTGCAAGACAGAACTGGGAGACATTATACCAGCTTTATTGATCTGATCTATCAGGAATCGTAGCTTTCTTGACATTTCTGCACATCGCTTTACCTGGTTAACAAATGTTCTCTGGAAGGGACTTTTTTCAGCATTTAAGTCACAAAATTGAAGAAGACCGAGTTGGCCTAAATAGGTGATGGCTCGGTGAACGGACTCGGCAGACAAAATCATATTGTTCCCCTTAAAATCTAGAACCAGTAGTTGATCAAAATTATACCCAAGTTTTAATACTGACTTCATTAGAGTAGCTTGCCCATGAATTTCTGCAGAAGGTCAAGTAGACTGGACTGTTGTTTCTCTATTTGGTGCAACTAGTTACATATCAAAGACAATTCTTCAATTGTTTTTTTTTCAAAATCAAAATATTCCAAATCATCATCACTTATTGTACCGAGCATGACACTAAAAGTAAACTCAATCCGCTCTCAACATCCAACCGCAACAAATTTAACACGCTAAAAGTCTCTTCTAGTAAACATTTGAAAGCATAGCAAGAAATCAATACTTTCCACAAACATCTCGCCATTTTAGATTATCCAAAGTGTTTTTCTTCAGCAAAGCAAACTCCCACTGGGCTCGTACTACTTCCCTAGCAGCCCCAAGCAGTAGCTTATCATGAGATATAGAAGTCTTGCAATTGCACAACCATGACATTGAGCAACATTAACATTTGAAGTCCAGAACACCAACTCAGCAAGCCAATTTCCAATAGTGATAAAAAATATCAAAACCAATCAAGGACGTGGAACTTTGAATTTAAAATACCACTATGAAATAAAAACACAAGTAGATACTCTTTTCCCATGTCCCATCTCACCAGCAAGCATCATACTCTTGGTTTTCATGTGGACATTTGTGATTGGACTTTGAACTTTGGCAATATTAGATGATGATGAATGCCTTAAATTTTCAATTAACTTGTATTCCAAGTAAGCCATATGCATGTCTCTTCCAAATTTAATTTGAATCAAATTCTTGAATAGAACAAATTCTTAAGAAATTGATGTCATAATGAACTCAAGGATTAATCTCTAAACATGCTTTTAGAATCACTTGGAAATTGCACACTTGAATGAACACTTTGGACTTGCATCCCAAAACAAACATCTTGATGGAACATCCACCAAACTTGACTTGTACAGACAAAACTCTAAATCTTCGATTAAAACTGGGACAAACTTTTCATAAAACACTGCTTGATAAACCAATGAATTTCAACACAAGACAAATTGACCGTGAACAATCACATTTGCTGAGAAAATATCCTATCACCACGGGTAACTTATAGTTGAAGCAAACTTCTGATAGTTTGACCAAGATGAGGTCAAACGTCCATCTGATTTAAACTTGAATGAATGTCCTTGCCATCAATCTCCCTGCAAAACCCTAAACACACAGAGAAGAAGAAGAAACAAGCAAATTGCAAAATATTTTTGGTATTTCGGTTAGAGGTTAGTAAATAGAAACAAACATAAAGCAAGTAATAAACAACAGGGGTGTGAGAACCATATAGTATGATCTTGTTTGTGTATGCAAATGATGCAAATGAAATGTGGGATCTTAGGGGTAAAAATTAGGGTATTACAGATATGTGTCATCATCAGGGAGAGAGAGTGTAAGGCGCCTTTATATAGTGACAAGTGTCATGGACTGTAAGATTGGGCCTGCTTAATGGACAAGTGGACCTGCATTACTGACTAAACTGATTACTTAATGACAGATTAAAGCTGATTAGCATATATTAATTAAAATTGACACGAATTAGTGATAAAGCTGGAAACGAAATGATGATGGATTAATAAAGAAAATCAAATTAAAAGCTGATTAACCTAGTAAAAGATAATAATAAAAGTTGACTTAAAACTAAAAGGTACATCGTGAACCTTCTTAAAACCTAATCAACTAATAACAACTAATTAAAACCTACTCAATTAAAACTAACTAATTAAATCCTAATATATTCTAAAAACAAATAATATTCTATTAAACTCTAAAAAATAGAAAAAACTATTTAAAATCTATTAAACTCTAATAATACTCTAAAATAGAAAATAAAGGATAAAAACTATCTAAAAACTATTTTCTATGCCACAAGTTAATGAAATAAAATCTAGAAAATTAAAGACAATTTCACAGAAAAGCAATAAAAGCAATTAAATCAGCTAACAAAAAATGCGAGAATGGTAAAACGACGGACACCGAGATATCCCCACACACAAAAGCACAGACTGAAAACACCGGGAAGAGTACAACTTCCCACAATAAACCTTCGTATTTGAACTGGCTTGAATCATCTAAAACGCGAGAAAAAGGCTGTGATCCCGATAAAATCAATCCGGCTGGAAAAATGCACTGTATACGGTATGCAGATGCAAATGCAGATGAAACGAAACATAAGCCAAATATAAGAAATGGTTGGTCAAATTTTGGGGTACAACAATTCGCTGAAGTAAATTTTGGACACAACCTGCCCCCAAATTAATAACATGGCAAGATTAGAGATAAGGCCAGAAATGAGATTTCCATAATGCCTAATTTTCTTATATTGTAGATATTATTCTAAGACTTATTCCCATTAACCCCTTACAACTAAGTTCTGACCCTCACCCTTATACACATACCCTTAACTAAGTCAATGCCTAAATAATTATACGAATAAAATCACAAAATGACAAAATATTTAAATGGGATGTTACAACCGTCCCCCGCTTAGAATATTTTCGTCCTAAAAAATGTACCTGATGAGAACAATTCCAGATATGACTCTCAAATCTTGCTCTCTAATTCTCAGGTCACACTTCCTCCAGCAGCTCCTCCCCAAGCTAATCTCACTAAAGGAATGTCCTTGCCTCTTAAATGTTTCATCTTGCGATCCTCAATCCTTATCAGCATTGTCTCAAATGTAAGATTATCCCAATTTTGCACTTCATCCCTTTGAATGACATGGGATGGATCAGGAATGTATTTCTGAAGTTGCGACACATGAAACACGTCACGAAAATTTGAAAGTTCAGGTGGCAGAGCCACTCTATCCGTAATAATTCCAACTCTCTGCAAAATTTGATATGGCCCAATGAACTTAGGATCTAAATTCCTCGATATCAGTGCACAATCAACACCTGTCACATGATTGACCCTCAGAAACACATGGTCGCCTTCGCTGAATTCAAATCTTTCCTTCTATTATCATGATAGATTTTCTATCTACTCTGAGATGCTTTCATCTTCTCTCTGATCATCTGGATTATCTCATTAGTCTGTTACACAATTTCGGGTCCAAGTACGGCGCTTTCACCCAACTCATATCAGAAGCATATATGTGTCTTACACCTCCTACTATACAAATCTTCAAAAGGCGCCATTCTAATACTAGAATGGTAAATTTTATTGTATGCAAATTCAATCAACGGTAAATGGGCATCCCAAGCACTTCCCTACTCGATTATACAAGCCCTCAACAAATCTTCTAATGATTGAATAGTCCACTCAGATTGCCCATCAGTTTGCGGATGATAAGCATAATTTAATTTCAAAGTAGAACCCAAAGCTTCCTGCAAACTCTTCCAAAATTCGTAAGTAAACCTCGGATCTCTGTCAGAAACTATGCTTGATAAAACTCCGTGCAACTTCACTATTATTCTAATATAAGTCTCTGCTAACTTTGACAAAGGAAATTTGATGTTAATCTGTATAAAATGTGTTGATTTCGTCAATCTATCCATAATCACCCAAATAGCATCAAAGCCTCTCGCTGTATTTGATAAACCAGTCACAAAGTCCATCGCGATACTATCCCATTTCCACTCTGGAATTTACATTAGTTGCATCAAACTGGAAGGTTTCATATGTCCCACTTTTGACTTCTGGCAAGTCAAACAGCATACACAAATCGAGCTACTTCTTTCTTCATATCTGGCCACCAAAATAATTTCTTAAGGTCTTAATACATTTTCGTAGCCCCCAGATGAATACTCAACATACTCTTGTGGCCCTCCTCTAAGATTATTTTCCTCAGCTCAGGATTTTTTTGTACATAAACTCTGCCCCAAAATCTCAACACACCAAAGTCATCTACCTTAAAGTCACCTTCTGTATCTAATTCTCATACAGACATCAAATCCACCAGCTTCAAATCGAGTTTCTGACTCTCCCTAACCTCATTAAGGAAATCATTATTAACCTTCAGCATACCCAACATCACACTCTCAAGAGTCAGTTCACAAACCATACTTAAGTCTCTGAAATGTTCAATTCAGTCCAACTCCTTAATCATTAAGGTCGACATGTGAATCCTCTTCCGATTTAAAGCATCTTCTGTGACATTAGCCTTACCTGGATGGTAACTCAAGCTAAAATCATAATCCTTCAAGAACTCTAACCACCTTCTCTGTCTCATATTCAATTCTTTCTGGTCGAATAAATATTTCAGACTTTGGTGATCACTAAACACTTCAAACAGTGATCCGTACAAGTAATGTCTCCAAATTTTTAACACAAAAACCACTGCAGCTAACTCAAGATCATAAGTAGGGTAATTCCTTTCATGTACCTTCAATTTTCGTGAGGCATAGGCCACGAGCTTACCATCCTCCATCAATACTCCGCCTAACCCCATT